ATAATGCCTAGCTAAAAAAATAGCTCCCGGAACCTTCCCGGCTGAGTGGCATGTGGGCAGAGAGCGCAGGCCAGCCAGGTGACAGTGCCCCCTGCCAGGGGGCAGTGACCGGCGCCCCCAGCCAGTGAGACGGACTTGAGACAAGCACAGACGTGTGGACCCAGAGCAGGGTGTGCCGGGCGTCCGGGCGGATCTTACTGGACTGGGGCGGTGGCAGCTCTGGACAAGCGTGCTTTTTCCCTCTGGGCTAGTTTTGCAAAGCTCCAAAGTAATAAGAGCTCTGTGTAACGAAGCACCACGTTATGCTCTGGGCTGGGCCTCCACGTGATCCAGATCTTCTTTACTTGGAAGGAGTGATTATGTGTGTTCTGGGCTGTGCATGTGTGTGTGTGAGAGAGAGACAGACAGACAGACAGAGACAACGTGGGGTGTAAAGAAGCAACATTTCAGATCAGCTACGAACGCGGATGACCGAGGTCGGGGTGCCCCGTACAGATGCCCCTGGTGTGCGGTCTCCCTGCGTGGGTGAGGGACGCCAGCACCATCTTGCTGACAGACACTGAGCACAGTAGTGGCTCTGTGGTCAAGGGAGTCGAGAGAGTGCTGAGCTGGTAGGAACGTGTGAAAAGGTCTTGTTGCAAAGTCCTCAAAGCCTGAGCGGGCTGACGGGCACCGGGACCCCGACGCGGGGAGGGCGGGCCGTGCTGTCTAAGCGCTTCCGCTGGGGAGAGTGCCGGCTGCGCGCACAGACTCACAGGTGCAGGAGCCCCGTGGGGACCGCCAGCATGTGCCGAGGCAGGACGGCTGCCCCTCGCTGGCCTCGAAGGGTCACGTGGAGCACGGTGCAGGATGTGTGCGCACGCGCGCACGTGGCGCTGTAGGCGTATACGCGGTGTCTGTGCGTGTGCACACGGCAGCGTCTGTGTACGTGGCGCGCATGTGTGGTGTGTGCACACGGCAGTGTAGGCGTGTACATGGTGTGCATGTGTGGTGTGTGCGTGTGAGCACATGAGCAGTGTGTAGGGGTGTACGTGATATGCACGTGTGTGTGGTGTGTACATGTACCTGTGAGCAGTGTGTAGGCGTGTATGTGGTGTGCATGTGTGGTGTGTGCAGGCGTGTATGTGGTGTGCATGTGTGGTGTGTGCGTGTGTGCACGTGAGCAGTGTGTAGGCGTGTACGTGGTGTGCATGTGTGTGTGATGTGTACATGTGAGCAGTGTGTAGGGGTGTACGTGATATGCACGTGTGCGTGGTGTGTACATGTACCTGTGAGCGGTGTGTAAGCATGGCGGGGGAGTATGCGAGTGTGCAACTGCTTTACAACAGGCGGGGATGGGGCTCCCGCGTGCTCCGTAAGCGACTTCACAGAGAAGGGGGAGCCCCAGGCCCCAGCGCTGCTTTGGCGCCTGCCGGGGCTTCTAGGGTCACACCCCCCTTTCCTGAGCGTCAGGCCCTCGCCGTGTGGGACCCCACGAACACAGGTCACGGCCGGCCCTGGCCCCCTTGACAGGCCTCTGCGCCCCAGAAACTCAGGGACCCGTCCGAGGCCTCTGCGTGCATCCCTCCCTCCAGGACTCAGCTGGGGGCTTCACGTTTAAACAAAAAAACCCATAATCGCTGTTTAACACGGTTTATTTGAGAGTGCAACCTACCGCATTCCAAGAACATCCATGAAAAGAATCACAAAACTAATTTAAAACTTTTATTTAAAAAACCTACAGTTAACAAAGTCCAGTGACAGAAAGCAGTTCTGGGACGGAGGACGGGAACCCACTGAGCGGCTGCGCGTGCTCTGCGGGACAGGGCCCGGCGGTCCCCTGCGCGCGTGCAGTCCAGGCGGGGCGGCGGCCACAGGGCAGGGGCGATGTACCGTCGCCCCAAGGCTGGCGACAGCCCGTGCGGGGACACGCTCGGAGGAGAAGCAAGTCATCGTCTTCAGCACAGAAAGGGCTACGTTTCTGTTCGGGAGCCCTCATCCCGCTGGCGGGAGCGCAGTGTCCGTGGCGCCAGCACACAGCTGGTTCTGGCCAGAGCGGGCTGCGTGCCCTCTGTCCCTGACGCGCTTCTGCCACCAGGTAAAGGCACTGGGCGTGAGGACCGGCCATCGGCAGGGCGGCGTGCGTGTGAAAACCAGGCCCAGGCCTCCCACGTGCGGGCCCGCGGCCCCGCTGAGACGCGTGCTGGCGTCAGAAGGGTACTCGCCGCTCAGCGACAGCCTCTTGCCCGGATGTCACCCAGCCTTATCCGACCCTTGCAGTTACCACACAAACTCTACGCACGGCCGAGCACAGAGATTCCACTCATCTTTTTAATTTCGGGGACTCTGTGGCCACTGTTTCCGAGTATCTGCCCAGCACACAGGGACCCTTTTTAACAAAATGATCAAACCGCCAAGTAGCGTGATTCCAAAAAAGCGTGATGGGTTCTGGGAGCTTCTTACCACCGTTCCATGGGTGACTCGTGTCTCCTCCCGGCAGAGCAGGGGTGCTGACGGCTGCCTCTCGCCACGCTAGGCTCCCCTCTTACGAGGAGAGACGACTCTCCCGTCCACAGGCTGGACACACCTTTAAAACGTCTCAGGAATAACCGCAGGCGGCCCGAGGCCGTGGGTCTCGGCTGCCCCGAGGATGCTGGGTAATTCTAACCTTACTGGTGTCTGTGGGCCAATGGCTCGTGTGTTCCCTAAGACGAGGGGCCGAGCAAACAATTCCTGCCTCGCACCGTCAGCCCGAAGTCACACCAGGCATGCCTGTGGGGAGGGTCAGGGCCAGTGGCTTTGTTAGGAATTAATCCATCCTTAGGAGACTCATGTTTAGGTGGCCTCGGCCACCAGCCTTCCCCCTACTGTGTGGGGAATTCGGGCCACACCGCTCTCTAGGGGAGGGGAGCCTGGACCGCACCCAGGACACGGTGACCCGCCGCAGGCTGCCCTCTGTCCTCGCTCAGGCCTGAGGTGACAGACGCCACCGCCTCCACGGGTGTTACTCGTACCCTGTACGCACAGCCTTGGGAGGGGGTGTGGGGGAAAGGAAGCCAAGCCAGGTCCCGCCAGGAGCCCTGTTTTTCACGCGGACGTGAGTCTTCTGTGTCAGAACACATGGAGACACTCTTTGTCCCCCTTTCCTGGCTACTTGCTTAGAGTTGTTTTTAAGCCTCAGAGCACTTTCATCGCCAGGGCAGCTTTTCAGCGGCTGGGCTCCCTCCGGCTTTCGGCCCGTCGGAGCCAGTGTCTCGAGGCAGCCGGCCCCCTCGACGCCCCTTCCCTCCCGGCCGACGGCAAGGCCGGCCCCGGCCGCGGAGCAGGGCACACGGGCGCGTGCAGGCTGCGAGATGCTCAGGCGCGGAAACACACCCGAACGTAACCTGCCACGAAAACACGCCCTGCAGACAAGACACACAGAGGAGTCCATCCACGGACCCCCGATCCTGTCTGTCTGTCTGCCCAGGCTCTTCCGGGAGGGGCTGCTCTGTGGCGGGTGCAGGGGACAGGCTCTGGGGACAACAGTCACGGGCACGCTCCACGCGAGGCCGGCTCTCCTGGCAGCAGACATGGGTGGACGCTCTCGAGATCCACGCACTGGGCTGGCTTTGCCACGTCTGCTCCCAAGGCGGCCACGGGGCGGGGGGCCGTTAGTTGACCACGTCGTAGTAATAATTGCGTAGACGCAGCTCCACCGCTGCAAACCCGGGCCTGCTCTCCACCCTGGAAAGGGAAGATGTGCATTACTGTCCGTCCACGCGCCGTGACCAAAGCTCCTCCGGCAGGTGGCATGGCGGTGGCTGCGCCCCCTGGTGGCTCCTCCAGAGCCTACACGTCCCTGCTTCCTGCACCCCGGGGACCAGAAGCCCCTGGTGGCATATAATCAGGCCCACCTGACCTGCAGGACCCGACCTGTGTTCGACAGGATCCCCAGGTGGCTTGTGTCCACCCTAAAGTTGGAGACATCCTGCACCGGGAGCCGAGACCTTCCGCCCCCAGTTCAGAGACTTGGGATCCACCCAAACGGGACGTGCCTAAAAATACTTAGTGGGTCAATGAGAGGAAGACGTATATCAAGTTGGACTCATCATCTTGCTAAAAATACATGGACACAATTTAAACTCTCCCCCCACCCCCGTCAGAGGGCTCTGGGCTTTCCGGAAATGCGCTATGATATGGGTTCCTATTAAAGTCAAAGCCAAAGACGCGGGCCTTGACGGTTACAAATGTCGACACAGCGAGGTGAACTTCTCTGTCGCTGTTGAGGGTGGGTAACGATCTCCGTAAATGATGGGCAAGAGTTTCTAACCATTTGTAACCCCTGAACAAACCTGTAGACTCCTCTGCTTTCTCTAATATGACAGGATTGACCGGAAGCAAGTATTTCTTGAAACTCTTGAGAATCTATCGCGGTGTGGAAGTGATTTTGCTTCTATTGCAAGATTTTTGGCGATAAGGCCAGCGGGTAAGTTTGCCCAGTAAGGGAAACAGAGCTTGAGGTTAAACTGGGTGAAGCGTCCGTGTTGCAACTGTCATTTGTGTGCTCTCGGGAGGGGCTCTCAGGGAACAGGGTGCTCAGAGGAGGGATGCTTGGGGAGGCGGCTCTCAGAGGGAATGGACTTGGCCCTGAGCAGAGCCGGGAGCCAAGCACAAGGATGGTCCAGGCAGTGCCGCCCTGTTGCTCATGTTTGCTGATCCTTAAGCAGCACTTGGCGCTCCATCTAGATCGTTCCCTGCCTCAGAAACCCTAAACTTCCCAGACTTTTCGCCATTAGGCCGATGCCCCGTTTTTCGGGGTGAAGAGCCCCAACTTCTCCCGATTCACGAGGGCGTCCTAAGTGCAGGACCTGCCTGGAGTCTGTAAAACCCGCCCGCTGAAGCCCCAGCCCCGCCCCCCGTGTCTCCTCCCCGGCTTCCACAGCGCACCCCGGCCCCAGCGTGGCCTCTGCAGGTACTGCTCTGAGCGCCCTGGCCCCTCTGCAAAGCGGGAGGGCTGGGGGGGGGGGGGCTGTCTGCCTATTCAGGCCTGTCCCCCACCCCGGAAAGTCACTCCAGGACATGGCGTGGAGCCCGTGGGGGTGGGGCCCGGTGAGCAGACTCCAGCTGCCGCGGGCAGGAGGCTCCCTGGGACCCCGGGCAGTGCCCAGAACGGTGCTTTTCCGCCCAGTGGTGCGGCATCCAGCTGCTGACATCCAGACCGAGTCTCAGCATCGGCCCCCCGCCCCCCCCATTCAGGCCACTGCTAGAAACCCTCCAACCTGCAGAAATACAGCCTTGTTGGAAAGCCAACCAAAGACGATGAGGAGTCGTCCTAAGTTCGGCTGAGCGTGGTCACCTCCCGTCACCCGGCCCATACTGGAACCCGACACGGTCCCGCCAGAGAGCACGCGGGATCGGAGTGACGGGAAAGGCTCCCCGCGTGTCGGCCTCACTCACCCCCCCCACAACCTCCAGGTGAGCCCGACGCTGGCGATGGCGCCCCCCACGGAACAGTGCTCCGCTGTCGCGGCTCCGGTGAGTATGCAGACGGCCGTTCCCCTGCGCGTCCTCCCTCCGCGGACCGTGCTGGCGGTGACGGCGCGGGGGGGGCCGTGTCCAGGGGGACAGAGCGTCACCTGCCCCTGATGCCCGAGTCCCGGGAGCCGAGCGCCCTGCCCTCCATGCTCACCCCGCTGGGCAGCTGCCTCCCCCCTGCCCACCCCTCCGGTCCTCACCGGGACAGAATAACCAAGTCCGCATGAGCAGTAAATGCCCCAGCGCTGACTTTAACTGTCACCCCGATTGCTGATCTTAATTTGATTGAGGCTTTTACATTTGTCTCATGATGATTTAAAAGGGATTCTTCCCCGAGGAAGTGAAAGCTTCCGCAGGAAGGCCCGGGCAGGGGGTGGGGGTGGGGGGGCATCCGGTAAATGTTCCTTTCTAGTAAGTGTCCTCCCGGGGCTGGGCCTGGCCCGAGGCCTCGGACTGCGGCTGGGGGTCCCCGGACCCAGCGCCCCTGGGAAGGAGAGGTCGCTAAGGCCAGAGGCTGGGACTTGCGCGTGGAGGAAAGCCACGGTGAGCTTGTTTCCAACCTGGGGGTCAGCGTCCAGGAGTCCTCACGGCCTGTGGGGTCTGCGCCACCCAGCAGGGTGCACCCCACCTGCCTGCCAGGAGCCAGGACAAGCCCACGCTGTCCCGGGGGGCTTCCCCCCACGCCAGAGGCCCTTTCCCTGCACACGCGCACACGCGCTCTCTCCCGCTGGGGCTGACCCTGCATCGCTTGTAGGAAGCGACGGCACTGTGCTTCCACCCCCCACGTGGTGGGCACTGCTCCCCGGGCGGTCGGGGAGCCCCAGGTGGATGTGAAAGCACCTGGGATAGCCCTCCGCCCCCAGGCGCCCCTGCCACGTCAGCCTGCGTACCTGCGGGCGGACCTGAGCCTGAGCCGGTGAGGCCGTGGCGAGTGTGTGAGCCCCTCTGGGCCACAGCCCCGCGTCATCCCTGGGCCACAGGGCTCCCAGGCGCACGCCGGGGCCACAGGCACAGGGTCCACGGCTCGAGGTTTCCCCACGACGCCCTCGCAGGCTGCCCGTCCGGGCAAGGTCCAGGGCCACTTCCCTGATGGTCAGGTGTGAGGCACTTCTCTTCCTGCTGAGCTGCCTACAGCGTCACCTGCCGTCCCCCAGGCAGGACTCAGGACACACCAGGCAGACTCAAAGGCCACTTTGCAAAGTCTGAGTCGCTTCTGGGAAAGGGCTCCCTCAGCCAATCGGCCTGCGACCTGGGCAACACCCCTGGTCCAGCCTCACTATGAAAGGGGGTCAGGAGTCAGGCCAGTACGACATTCCCCCTACTGAGCCCCCTGCCGTCCACTGTGGCCCGAAGTCATACACGGCACCAGCCCAGACCCCCAGTGACAGCCTTCCACGGTGGCTACCCTCACCCCCAGCTGTCAGTATCTACATTTACATGCTGACCCCCTGGATTACAGTAATTGCCTGAACTTACTCTTTAGAATGGTGGATACGAGTACATGGTCCAGGAAGCAGGCCCCCCACCCCGCTCTGTTCAGAAGGGAGCACGTCCCTGGCTCATGGAAAGGAGAGGAGCGCATCCTTCCAGTGCCTCCCCGTCTGCCCCAGGACATTTGCACAGACCGTGGATCATGCGGGTACTCACTCATACGTCCAGCACAGCTTCATCAGCTCGTACATCTCCCTTGGACACCCTGCGGGGCACCCCATTCTCTCTCCTTTCTCCAGCATGGCCGACACCTCACTTCCCTTCATGCCCTGAAACACGCAGGTAAGGGGAAACGTGCTCCTGAGCCGTAGGGTCCGGCACAACGGAACAGCAGGTGAGTCCCACCCCCGCTCCCGAAAGACAAGTACACGCTGCACAACTTGACTTAGACAAAGTACAAAGGCAGGAGCGCCTGACCCAGGGCCTGGAAGTCAGATGGGGTGGTCCCCAGGGACAGCTTGTAGGTGCAAGAGGGACCGGGAGGGGGGGGTCTGTTCTGTGTCATTGTCTGGGCGCCATTTCCCAGGCACACCCCATCTGTGAAAATTCATCACGCTGTATGCCAGCACGTGGGCCCTTCTTGAGGTGTATCCATTCTGACTGAAACATAATCTAAAATATTTAACTGGACTGCAAACGTAATGGTGGAAAGAGCCGTCGTTTCTACTTCAACTCTAGTTAATGTCGCTTTGGGTCTGCGTTGTGCATGAAAAAGCACACACTGTTCAGTTAACGTCAAACGTGGCTTTTTCAACTCAGAACAAACTGAAGTCCTGTTAACGGCTCACTGTCTAGAAGATCGTGAAGGACTCAGAAAGGAGCCCAGACTCTCTGATTTTCAGAATGGGCCCCATAACAGCAGCATGTGGCTTATCTGTTGTGAAGGCTCAATGGGGCCGCAGGGCTCACCCGATATGGCTTCTGCCCGTAGGAGAAGGCCTCCCACATCAGCACCCCGAAGCTCCAGACGTCGCTCTTGCTGGAGAACTTGTAGTAGTTGATGCACTCCGGGGCGTACCACTTCACCGGCCACTTCCCGTGGGTCTGGGCCTGCAGGCAAGGCAGACACGGCACCCCGTTAACCCCAGGATCGTGGGCTCCCGTGTTCATGGTGGGAGCCACCCCAGGCACCCTGCGGCCGCCACAGGACCGGATAAACAACATGTTGATATTCATATGGCAGACAGTCACTGGGCCTTGGAAGGGAGGGGAATTCTCGAACATGTTACAACATGGATGGACCCTGAGGACATTTTTCTCAGTAAAATAAGCCGGTCAAGTCACTAAAGTGCAAATATTGCGTGAAAGCAGCCCCCCGAGGCGCCCAGAGGGCTCCGAGGCACAGAGACAGAGAGTGGAGTAACGGTGGCCAGGACCCAGTGAGGACAGAGTGTCAGTCTGGGAAGATGAAAATTATGGAGAGTCACAAACACAGCGAATGTGCTTAACATTACACTTAAAAAAAGGTTAAAATGGCAAAATTTAGGTTATGCGTATTAACCACCATTAAGAAAAACAGGAATGGGGTGCCTGGGTGGCTCAGTTCTTTGAGCGTCCGACTTCAGTTCAGGTCATGACTGGGGGTTCAAGCCCTGTGTCCGGCTCTGTGCTGACAGCTCAGAGCCTGGAGCCTGCTTCGGATTCTGTGTCTCCCTCTCTCTCTCTCTAAAATAAACATAAAAAATAAAAAAGCAAAGCAGTAGTAAAGAGATCAAAACCGTCCCCAGCGAAAGCCTTTCCTCTGGGGCTTGGAGTCTGGTGCACGTAAGTCCTGCTGCGTCCTGTGGGCAGAACCATCACAGGCCCCTTGTGGGGAGGGAAGTGGTGGGTCAGGAGTGGGGAACCCGGGACATCGACCTGAGAGCACGGATCCCATGGCCCGTCTCTAAATGACACACTGATTACACTTCCGTCTCAATCATGCTATGCATTATTTTTAGATTCTCATTTGAAAAGTTGTGAACAATATATTCACGTATGTTATTTTGGTTTTAATTTGAATTGTGAGGTGCTACAAAGATATCCCTTTGACAAATCCTAAATACATCAACAAGGTAAGTCTCTCTCTGCCAACTCCAAATCCTCATCTATGGAGATGGCCACGTTTGGTCGTTTCTCCTGAATCTTTCCAGAAAAGTCTATGTACTAGTACAGAGAGAGAATACATACATTTTTGGAAGTAGAAAAGCTAGGAGCATATGTTTTGCACATTCCGTTTTGGTTCTTCTTAAGCACGTGTTGTGGATATAGTCCCACGTCAGCACGTGCTAATAGTTGCTTTTAGAAGAGTTCATTGCGTGCCTCCTATAAATCACTACGACTGATTTAACCAGGCTCCTGCTCAGAGACCACGGGGGGGTTTCCTGATTTTTGCCATCGCGTGCCGTTCTGGAACGCGCATTGCTGACAGCGTGTATCTGTGCCGCGTGCAGGGCAGAGAGCTGCGGGATCAAAGGGCTTTTGTGTTCAGTGCAGGGTCACGCGGTCACACATGGATTTGCTCCCGTTAGCATCTTCTCTCTGTAACATTGTGCAGCTCTTGGTTTGGTTCCCTTTCACCCCGTCGTCTTAAAGAAATGGTCCGAGTCCCCATCTTGTCCGCAGTGCGCTTCTAACATGTACGATCTGATGACTGAGGTGTGCAGTGTTGCAAGACGTTTTCCAGAGTAAGGTTAGTTGGCACATCCTTCACCTGACAAAATTACCACTGTTGTTGTCATGGAGACAGCACGGAAGATCTACTCTCTCAGCAGCTTCCACGTGGACAGCACGGTCGTGTAGCCTGCAGGCGCCAGGCCAAACACAGACCCCCAGGATTGATTCCTCTTATGTTCTGTGACCAACCTCTTCTCACCTCCTCTACCCCTCAGTCCCTGACAACCAAAATCTGTTTCTGTGAGTTTGGCTTTTAAATTCTACATGTAAGTGAGAGCACACAGTGTTTCTCTTTCTCTGTTTGGCTTATCACTAGCATAATGTCCTCGAGGTCCATCCGTGTTGTTGCAAGTGGAAGATTCCATTCTTTTCTTTATGGTTGATATATCCCATGTGGTTGTCTGAATTTTAAAACACGTACACACAGACACCCCATGTCACATCATCTTTATCCATTCATCCACTGCTTGGTATTTAGGTTGTTTCTAGATCTTGGCAATCGTACGTAATGACTGCAGTAACCATGAAAGGGTAGATATCTCTATTAGATGGTGATTTCATTTCCTTCAGATAAATACACAGAAGTGAGACTGGTGGATCACATGATAGTCCTAGTCTTAATTTTTTTAAGGGGACCCCTGCTGTTTTCCATACCAGCTGCACCAATTTACATTCCTACCAACAGCACAAGAAGGTTCCCTTTTCTCCACATCTTCACCAACACCTATTATTTCTTGTCGTTCAGATACTAGCCATTCTGACAGGTGTAAGGTGGTATCTCAGTGCCGTTCTGACTTGTATTTCCCTGATGATTTGTGATCCTTCATACATACCTGTTGGCCGTTTGTATGTCTTCTTTGGTTATAGAAATACAGAAAAAGAATAGAAAATGTCTATTCGTGTCCTTTGTGTATTTTAAGATACGATTTTTATTTTTTGCTATTGATTGTATGAATTCCTTATATATTTTAGATATTTACCTCTTTCCACAGAGCTGATCTGCAAATACTTTCTCTCTTTCCATAGGTTGGCTTTTCACACTGTTGTTTCTTTTGTTGTACAACCACTTTTTAGTTTGACATAATCCCATCTGTTGATTTCTGCTTTTGTCTCTTGGACTTTTGGTGCAGTATCCAAAAAATTCATTGCCAAGACCAATGTCAAGGAGCGTTTTTCATGTTTTCTTCTAGGACTTTCGTGGTTTCAGGTCTTATGTTTGAGTCTTTCATCCATTTTGAGTTAATTTGTCTTGTTCCTGCTCTTAGAGGGAAAGCTCTCAACCTTTCTCCACTGAGTCTGATGTTAGCTGTGTGCTTGTGATATGGGGCCTTTACTCTGTTGAGGCACATTCCTTCCATACCCCCTTTTTGAAAGTATTTATCATGAAAGGACACTGAATTTTGTCAAATGCTTTTCCTGCCTCTATTGAGATGACAGAATGATTTTTAGCCTTCATTCTATTACTGCAGTAAGTGTATCACATTTATTGTTTTGCAGATGTTGAACCATCCTTGCATCCAAAGATAAATCCCACTTGATCATGGCGTACGATTCTTTCAACGGGTGGTTGAACTCAATATGTGAGTATTTTACAGATAATTTTTGCATGTGTGTTCATGAGGGACTTTGGCCTACAGTTTTCTTTTGTGGCACCATCCTTATCTGGCCTTGGGATCAGGGTAATGGTGGGCTTGTAAAATGAGTTTCAGAGTGTCTCCTCCTCTTCCATTTTTTGGAGAATTTGAGAATGACTGGTATTAATAATTCTCTTCTAAATGTTTGGTAGAATTCACCTGTGAATTCTGTGGGGTACATTTGGCCCAAGGTATAGTTCAAGTCCAATGTTTCCTTGTTGATTTTCTGTCTGGATGACCTATCCGTAGTTAAAAGTGGGGTATTAACATCCCCTACTATTATTGTACTGTTGTCTATTTGTCCCTCCAGGTCCGTTCGTATTTGTTAATTCAGGTTATATTCAGATAGTTCTCCAGTGTTGCACGCACACATATTTAAAATTGTTATATCCTCTTACAGAATCGACTCCGTCATTATCCCACGATGACCTTCTTTGTTTCTTGGTATGCCGTTTGGCTGCAAGAGTGTTCTGTCTGACAGAGCTGCTGGGTTTCCATTTTCATAGAGTATCTTTTTCCATCCCTTCACCTTGGGTTTACGTGTGTCCTTAAAGCTGAAGGGAGTCTCTTATCGGCAGCAAGCAGTTGTGTCTTGGGTTTTTAAAATTTATTCTGACAATTTATATTTTTGATTGGAGAATTTAATCCATTTACCATTAAAATAATTATTGATAGGTTACAACCTTACGAATGCCATCTTACTGGTTTCCAGCTGTTTTGTGGTCCTTTTCTTCCTCTCTTGTTGTCTTCCTCTGTGTTGGGGGGGTTCCCAGCGCCATGTGCTTAGACCCTCCTGTCTGAGGTGCACACAACCGCAGGTCTGTGTGATTATGCTGAGGTTTACACAAAGCATCTTAGAAATGTCACAGTCTGTTTTAAGGTGATGACAACTTCACTTTGTGTGCAAAGATTCTGTCCTTCCATTCCTTCCCACCATATTTTATATTTTTGACGTCATAATTTATATGTTTAATACTGCGTATCCATTAACAAATGATTGTAGCTATAGCTTTTTTGGACAGAGAGTGACAGAGAGAGACAGTGTGTGAGTGAGGGAAGGGCAGAGGGAGAGGGTGAGAGAGAGAGAGAGGGAGGGAAGGGCAGAGGGAGAGGGTGAGAG